TAAAACATTTTTTTTAATTTTAATTATTTTGTTTCATTTGTTGAAGCCTGTGTCTTCCTTGCAGCATTCGAGACGCAACGAAAAGCGCTCAACATCATCTTCCAGTAGAAGTAGTCGTAGTTCATCGAGTGTTTCGAGGAGCACATCAAGTAGCAGGTAAAATTAACTCACTATCACTGATATTTATTGACTGCATTGCTAAATTTTTTGGCCGTACTTTAAAAACTTATTGTATCTCTAGTGCAAAAATAGTTAGATAGCAAAACTTTCTTTTTCTAAATCATAAATTAATTACAAATTTTCAGTGAAGAAATTTTTTCAGCTTGTCAAAGCGCTCAAGTAGTTCGAATTCAACCAGGAATTCTCGAAGCAGAAGTCACGATTAATTTTACTTTGTTACGCATACTTTCTCTATTTCACGAGTTGTTAAATCTTTGTGAAGCATGAAGATTTCGTCAAGGTTTTGGGAGTTAGTCATGATATTATGATATATCATTAATAAATGCAAATGATTTTAACTTCACTTAGTATTGTATACTAATGTAATCGGAAATCCAAAGCAGAATTGTTTTTTGACGACGTATTATTTGAATTATATGCGTAGAATCTAGAACATGTTCATTTAATTTATTTTTTGATCTCCTTATTGATCAGAAAAGACATCTTTTGGCAAAATATTTTTTTATCTTTATCATCATTTTATAGAAAGGATGCATGGACTTTCTGTTTCGTGATGAAATGAGACGGATGGCTTGTATGTCATTAGATTCGTTTCGGTTGTTTCTTTAAATTCGTTTCGGTTGCATTTAAGTGCGGTTTTTAATATATTTTGTAAAAAAATGGTTCTAATATTTTCAAGTTGTGAACAGTGCAGCCGAAAACGCTATTAATGATCAAATTCAGTGCCATTACGTTGATGGTAATAGCAATATGTGAGTTGTGTCTCATATTGCTCACGTACTCTCACGTAAAGGAAGCCGTTCTAAACACGAACATTCTGTGAACTTGATATTGTTGCGTTTCTTAAAAGTTACTGATATGCAGTAAAATTTCTTTATACATGGCTCAATATTCATTAGTACTCACAAGTCTTTGATATGAAGTTGTGTTTTATTCATTAATTTATTGCTAAATATTCAGAGTATTTACTTTTTGCACTTGATATTTCGGACCAAGAGCAAAAGCCCTACCTCTATTCCGTAATACGACATTTCAACGTCTTTCTATCCTAAAGTTTCGAGTATTCATGCTTGCGCGCTGTACGCTATGACAATAAAGAACTGCGTCCCAGGAATCAGATCCTTACTTGCTAAACTTACTGCTGACTAGATTCTAGTTCCGGTTATTTTATGATATAATCGTTTGTGTAATTCATTTCTCGTGATGAAATCTTTACCATGCGAAAATAAGTAGAACCCAGACAGTGGAGTACCTTCTGGCAGAGAATGCAAAACTAAAGCAGGTCGTAACTTACAAATGTTGCGGATGAGAAACTCTAATACCTCTTTTTGGCGCATCATTACGTCTGCTATCAAGTAAAATTCTCATTCGACTGGAACGAAGGTGTAGCATTCGTACAGTGACTTTAAGCAACCGGTCGGGTCACACTGAATCCATACTACCAGGAGTTGACATTGTTAGTCATATTTAGTGAGAGCTTGCAGTACACAAGAAAATAATTGCAAATTAGGATTCAGTGGATTTATAGAACGTCGTGATTCATTAGTTACAGTTTTTCAATTACTCAGATCGACAAGAAAGAGACAAATGAGCGGACATGTTATATTCAATCTACAATTAGTTTTGTGGTGAGTAAGCACTCACTTAGTTGTCTAACAATATGATTGTGCTTCTCAATGTTTCAAAGACTATTCAGAATTTATTTTTGAAGATTACGAATTTGATACTGTCAGATGTATTCAAATTCAAAAGAGCCGATAATCGTTGCGATATTTTACAATGATTTGATTCCGAAGATTGTTTGCAATATGCACCCAACCGAGTTGTTCAACAAGCTGAAAAGTCAAACATAATTCGAAATAAAGTATTTCCACAGTATATCATTTTACAGTTGTAAAATTAATACATGCGTCAAATCATGTAAACCATTTAGTGAAGAAATATCTCTCTGAATTATGCAAAATCCAGTAAATAAAAAATTAATAAGGCAATTCACATATCTAAAGAACATTTGCATTTTTATTACATTGATTCTCCTAGTTTGGAAAAAAAACTATATATTTTATTTTTTACGAAGAAACACAGTAGCAGTTGCGTCTGAAATAAATTTCTTATTCAGTAGTTTTGTTTGCAGCAAGGTAGAAAATTCAACAATTTCCAAATGTTACAGTTTTGTTTAATGCATAATTGAAGATCAAATAACCTCAATAACTGCAGCTTCTAACACCACATTATTTGTCATGCTCTTTTCTTCACAGGCTTTCCGCAGAAATTTCAGTGCTCGAGCATAATGGGCATGAGCAACAGCCTGCTTTGCTGACAATATTAAAACCTAAAACAAATGTTCGCAAAGCAGGCTGTAAAATGATGAGGTATAAACAATTTATATTGCGCAGCGAGGTTTCCGAAAAATTAGAATGAGTAATAAATCTTACTATAAAAACCAAGATATAAGTGTTTTCCTGAAAAATAAGTGAAGGTGGGATCTAAAAAAGAGAGGATTACAGGATTATTAAGACAGTAGAATCTTCAAATGAGCTAGAAATCTTCAAATGAACTAGAAGTAATCTTTAAACAGTAGAAAATACTGTTTGAAGATCACTTCTAGCTCATTTTTTTAGCAATATTTCAATTATGGCTTATCAATCGTTTGGCAAATGAATAACCTTAGAATCAGTGGCTTCCAGCCATTTCAATGTCTCATAATATGCGACATCCATATCTTCCAATGTAATTTTGATCTGGAAAATTACAAACAGTTTAAAGAAATAAAAGAAATTTTAAATCGAAATATTCTTCTAAAATCAATAACGACTTTGTTTCACATTTTAATGCTTTCAGAAATATTACCAGAGATGTTTTCTTCACAAATTCTTTCTATAGTAGAAGAATCTTCCAAAAATTTAAAATAAGTGCAAAGAAACTTGCGGACAAAAAAAGTAAACTGTTTTTGTTAGTCTTTTGTGAAACGCAGTATCAAAAAATGCCATGAAATATGATTTCAGTATGAAAAAGCAACTTACAGGTATTTTGGGCTGATCCAATTCAACTGTTTCAAGGGCTTGTGACGATGTATCAACTGCTGGATCTAATTCCAATAATGACAATAACTCACCTGCTCCACTCACGTTATCATCCACAGCATCTTTCTTTTTCATATTTTCGACAAACTAAATGTTTTTTTTATGATATAAAATAAACCAATTGTATGTACCAAAAATTTTACACAACACTTGTATGAATACCTGAAAATCGCTAACTGACGATTTTCTCGTATGTTCCTCGGTTGCTAGGTTAGATTTATCAGGTTTTGCAGCGATATCAAGATTCAAACCGTGCCTAAATGCTTTTGGTATTTCTTGAGTACTAATTGTCAAATGTGCATCAGCTAACAATTCTGACTTTACCACTAGAGCATCGATAATAGCCAATTTACGATTCTCCATTTCCCTACAAAATAAATATGAACAATTTCCGTCAGAATCTATTGAACAATAGAGAGAAGTAGCTTGAAATAATAATGGATCGATAAAATATTCTAGTTCCATGTAAATAATGAAAACTTGACTTCTGTCATAAAAAAGAAAAAGCTTACGTCTTCAAGGCGACACCATTTTCATTGCTCTCATGTTTAGAACCCAAATATTTCAAAACTTCATCTGGTTTAGCTAGATTTAAGATAGCATCCACCAGTTCCAAAATTTGGTTGTGGTAATTTGTTTTATTCTGGAATCGCTTCAAAAATATCATTTGGACCGAACGAGCTTAGAACTGATGAAATATCAAAGTATAATTTTTACTAAAAATGAAGGGACTTCATTACTAACTAGACAAAGATGTTTCAAAAATGATCAATATTTGAATAAATGAATGTCTAACGATACCTTGTTGCTGAACAGACGTTTTAATTGCGCCAACATAACAGGCAAGTTGTTGGGGTTTTCAGCAATGAACCGATTATACAAGTCAGTTGCTTCGGCAACATCATGCAATTTAAATATCCACTGCACATGAAAATCACGCAAAGATTCTGTAAAAATAATAAAACTCAGTCCAGTATTAACACATCTCTACCACTACAAAAATCTCACTCACTACTTTATCATTTTTAAACTCACACATAATTTTACAACTGTTTGAGTTCCATTATTTTTACAAAAAAGGATCATGTATCTAGATTTCAAACATATGCGAGAATGGAAAAATTTTTAATCAAGCAGGTGCAATGGTTGTTCAAGAAAATTTAATACAAAATACAAGAGTCTGAATATCGTAATCAAAACGTCATATACTTACCTTTCATTGCCTGAATAGAATCAGGTGCAACATCTTCTTTCTTTACTAATGTAACTGGCGAGACAGTCTTGACTGATTTCCGGTTCCACTCCGAAAAAGTGTAAGTCGCTTGATACTGCACATTAGATCGAGCTGCTTCCATATCTGCTAAACTTAATGATCCCAAAAGATAGCACCCCGGCCAACCAATTTTCGGTAGCCTTAAAGAATCTAGTAGCTTTGTTGTAGACGAAATTCCCAAATGTACAGAATTATTTCATTTGTGCTTTACTGCTCCTTTTATAGATGCAAAGAAAAAGCTTCTACAAACTTTCAAAACAACATACTTTTCTTCTGGTAACGAGCCCACGTAAACAGTAGTCATTTCACCTGGTTTCATTTTTCTGATACCGAATTTCTTCCCTTCACCTTGCACAGCACCTAAAATAAATATAAATAGAAACCAACGAATAAAGAAAGAAAGAAAATTTTAAAAAAAAATTATACAAAAATATATTTGAAAAAATAAACAATGGCAGTTAAAGAATGTAAGCTTTACTTTTAATTTCACGTTTATTTGAATAAAATTCTGAAACATAACAGAAATACATTACTTTTGTAATTTGAAAATAAATCAAAAGTGATAGCTGATGGCAGTTTCAGTTGTAAAATTAACACTGCGTCTCGGTACTTTTCTAAAAAGGATGCGTTTTCATGCCTAATCTGAACACGAATACGGTAGTCACCTTTTTCCAATTTCAGCAAATACTGAAATTTTTCTTACATGTACTGTAGCAACAATAGTGATATGTTCTAACCCTTATTATAAGAATAGTTATTTATTTACAATCGTCAGTTCTTCATCCAACTTAATTTCACTTTCTTGAAAAAAATTCATAAATAATGAAAGGATACAGACTCGATCTGGAAAAGAACCACTGCTTCCAATATACTGTTTTGTGCCGGAAAAAACCATGATATTAACATCGTCAAATACACTTTCATAGAGGTAGTCAGTAATACCAGGCAATTCAACGTAGCCATCACTCGTTTTCTGCACTGAAATACAATTTCTTATACATCTTTCTTACTTATTGAATTTATCATTAATATTTTGAAACAAACTACTCGGATTCCAAGTAAAACTTACAAGAAAAGCTATAAGTCAGAAGTAAACGATAAGTTTGCAGTCCGTTGAAAAAAAGATCACGGGATCCCAAAGGCTGTATTCTTGCTTCTATGGGACGAAATGGTAAGCATATATAGCGAAATGTTAAAGATGGTCGTACATCTTCAAACCGCATTATTGAATTATGAATATCAAAATGAAATGGCGATTCGGATGAAAACTGTAAGGAAAATATGAGAAAAAAATGCAAAAAAATATGAGCAAACATTTTTTATTTCTCTTGTAAGATCAAAATGTTTAATGAATTCGCTATTCACTATAATGATATTATTATAAAGATATTTTCTATAGTTTTTACAGATATAATTGCATAATATCACAAAAATTACAATTCATATCAAAAAAGCGACAACAAAATTTAATCATAATAGCTAGGGCATATTAAAACAAAGCATAATGTTTTGGAAATACATACTATACTGATTGTAGAAGGAAACGGTATAGCTCCATGGAAAATTAATTCAACTTCTAGAGATGCTTCTCCTAAATTGTTCCACCATTTCGATATGCAAAATTCCATTGTACGACCACCGTACAATTCTACAGCAAAATCTTCCTGCTGATTTGGCTCCAGTGTAAGTGTCTGAATAAAACTGATAATTTAACCACGTAATATACTACAAGCCGAGATGAGAAAAAATTACCGTTTGATAGCACTCGATAACTAAAATAAAAGTCATGCCTTCATAAAATTACGTTAAAAATCCGATACATCAGTGCCTGAAAAATACTCTCATAGTTCAAATAACTTAGAATAATATACTACTTTATGAAATTCAGTAGAACTATAAGCGGTATCCGGTAAAAGTTGAATAACATGTGCGACATATTTTGTTTGCAAATGACAGCCAAGAGATGATAATTTCAGATCTGGAATAAATGCAAACTATGACCTAAAAATAGAGATACAACCAAAAACAAAAATCCAGATCAACTAAAAAAACTGAAATACTCTTAAGCATATTAAAAATATATGTATGCAAAATGAGTCATATTACAAGTATGAGTTGAACTTACGAGCCCAATCAGCGTTGTCAGGAACATGGATAAAAAATCGTTCTGGATAAGCTGGTTTGCACTGTAATTTTCGCCTGAATGTATATCCAGAATTATTGTCCAAAACTACTGGAACAATCACAGTAATAGGTATGCGGAACAAGGGTCCAAGTGATATATTTTTTGAGTCATAAGCGCATATCTAAAAACTGTCAGATGAAATTTGAGAAATGAATTGTATGGCATTGCCATAACTGAAGTAATATCTGAATCCATAAGTCATTAGCATCCAATATGACCACATTATTTAGGAAAAATAGAAACAAAATTCGCCAAACTAATTTATTATAAATTGACTTAATTCCTAAACAAAATGTTGTTGTCAGTGTTGCTGTCAATAAGAGAATGATAAAGTAGATTACCTCAGTGAAATGAGCAATGCCAACTTCAAGACTGAGTGGATCTACTGTGATTACAAAATCTCTCTCTTGATGCATTAATGTAAACTGCTTTGGATATTTTACGTAAGATGCGTCACAAGTCAATACTAAATGCTTCTCAAATGCTATTTTCACATCGTTATCTGAAAAATAAATATGTGAAAGAATTCTATAATGAACTCTTCCAAATCTTCCTATATTACCCAAAATAACATTATATCACATGAAATACACTAAATGAATTAAATCAATGCTTGTACACTAGTAACGTCTGAACCTACAAATTATTAGCAACCAATAAGATCATATTATTTCACAAAAACTAAAACAAAAATCTAAAATGTAATTTGACCATACAGTGAAACAACTACTTATTGTAAATCAAAACATCACCAACAAGGTTACAATAAAAAAAGAAAATGATGATGATAAAATGATGATACATATTACCATTTTATATGTCAAAAGTTTGTAACAAGTTCTTGAGGATAAACATTAACAAAGCATTACTGACTCCACAGTAAAAATTATTTAAATTACCGACAATTAGTTCACAGGAAAAACGATGACATGTTTAGCATACTTTAAAAAAAGAATGACGGAAAAAATTACTATTCCAAAAACCTTGTTTCTTCAACAAATTGTTTTACAAACTTTTTTGCAGACTCCTGATATTGACTTTGGTTCTAACACTGTTTGGGACTGAAGAATTTAGTAATAATAATAAATCAACAAAAAACCTGATTCTGGCTTAAAATATGGTTTTATGGCGATATTATAAGTGTTAACGGAGCATGTTTGAAACCGTTCACGTAAATAAATTCCGCGTGCATTAATGCCATTGATTCTAATCCCGAAATGCGTGAGCAGAGGAGAAACCAATGTATGGTGATCACGAATGAAATTGTATGCTTCATCTATCTAAAAAAAATATACAACAATAGTACTATTCGAAGGTTAATCTTCTTTTCTGCATTGCTGATAGTAGCGCCCGACTGTGCTCTGGCGAACACATTGTGCTTTCAAACGCTCAATCTTACGGTGATCTTCATTGCTTCATCTACAGAGTGGTAAAAGGACTACAGTGGTAAAAGGAAATGTTTTGAAAGGTCTTCTTGGAGCATTATTATCAACTGGATATATGTTTCAACGGCACCAGATACTCCAATTTTTTCTTGCGCGTTGTTTATGGAACTTCGTTATAATGCCATCTATGTATAAAGTAGGAATTATTTTCGCTCTGCATTTCATCTCTGCAAATTTATTAACCAGTAGGTCATACTTTCGTTTTTTCTGGCCTCGAGAGCTACGTTCTGACTAGTAATGCAAACTTCCATCAAGATTCCTATCGGAACCACTTTTATTTCCATGTTCTCATTCGTGTTTTGAACATAGTGGCTTCGTATGCGTAAAAATGCCTTCACACCATAGTTTCTGCAGAGTCTCGAAGGAACAGACTGCAGTACCTCAATATATCTTCTAGTATGGTATGGTAAAACATTTTCTCGCACTGCATTGCCAAATGATCCATCATATTCACACACTTCTTACAATGTGAGTACGTATTTTTCTGAGCAACAAAATACTTCCATTGGGGGTAACAGAATTGCGCCTTATTTTGTGATGTTCCCATGTCGCAGCCATCTGTGATTATAGTATCTGATGAATCTGTCACTGAGGCTACCTCATTTATCTGCATCTTGTATAGCTTTAAATGTCTAAGAAATTGTATCTAGTCCGAAGTTAAGAACTATAATCACAAAATATGAGTCATGAACCATCTCCTACTTAAGATTAGTATTGTTAAGTATTATTTGCATTGTATTTGCAGAAGTTGTAAGGTTATTGTTATGTAATAATTATGTTTCTTTCCCAAATTTTGTATGTGTCTTACTTTTTCTCTTTGAAATCTGTGAATATTTTACTTTTTTATATTTCTTCAGATTACTATATAAATGTATAGATAGAAAACAGATAAAGAAATTCTTGTTCGAGCATTCGTCTCTTGGATGAAGCAAGAACAGCTTATACAAGTACATTATGAAGCTGAGTTCAACGCTATGTTTCAGTTTATCTCTTGATAGCAAGTAGCCTCTTTCAGCATGCAGGTTGACTTGAATTCTGTTTATTTCATGACTGTCTGATATCATGGTTCATAGTTTCGGAGTCCTCTGGTTTTAGTCTTCTGATTCTTCATTATGATACTTCATCAGATTTCTGGACCGCTCATGCATCGCCTTGCCAAAATTCTCTTCTTTTACTGCAGTTTTTGTTCAATTATTTAATTCTTACCAAAATTCTCTACTCGAATTTCATCACAGCTTTCTGCGATAGATATACTAACTAGTGTTGTATTCCATTATTCCAGCGTATTTATCTCGTCGAATTCTTTTAAAAATACCGCTGAACCACATCAGTTATCGGCTGACCTTTCTGGATTTGCATCTTACTCTAACTACGTCAAAGAACCTATAGACTTTATACACAGATTTCATGACATCCTGATCGGTTGCAAGAAGCTCGAAATATATATAATATGCTTGTGGCATATGCTTAATATTTTAATCACCATTTACTTTAGAAGATTTTTGCTCGATTTCTACAAAATAAAATCTAAAATAGTGTCTTGAACATATGTAACAGACCTGCAACAATCCATTACCGATCGCAAAACGACTTTGATCTTTTAACAAGCGAGCTGTGTTTTCCAAAGATAAACGAATAAAATATGGACTCCATGCTATATTTTGTGCTTTTAAACCACTAAGCAAGCATGCTAAAACATATTATATGGGGGTATCCATAATGAGAGAAACAATTATGACCCTTAATCAACATAAACTAAAAATAATTTAAAATTTACTAAAACTGAGTTATACTGAACATCAAAAAAATTCAAAATATACTTGAAATGAAATTCAAGTTGAAAAAACTACCTAAATTTAGCATAAAGTGCAAGTCGAAATATAATGTAGCTAGAGGGTCGTCTGCAATTAGACAATGTAATGACAAAATTTAAGACTTACCTACTGTGCCTGTGACATTTGGTGAACTCATTGATGTACCATTCATTAGCTGACCAGCTTTTAACGCAAATTTAGGAACACTTGTTATAGCCGCACCAGGACCACATACTGATACACCTAATGCTCCATCAGCTCTGATCAAAGAAATATTAAACAATACCAGTTTTTAAACGATCATGGTGTGATATTGATGGAAATCTGTTTTAAGAAATAACATAAAAGACAGTGTTTAATAATTCTTTCAGTTTACTTTTCTCTTTTTAAATATGAAGACAGCTTAGAGAACGTCAGTGTAATTTATTATAAATGTAACTCTAACTTACGCTGGACCCCTTGAAGACCACGGATATAGTGTTGGAGGTATTTTGTCACGCATACTATACATTGCCTCCATCATTGTTGTTGAAAGATATGCACCGATCCCTGCAAAGCAAAGGTGTAAAAAAAACAATAATTTTTTGAAAAAAATATCAAAAAGAAACTAACAATCTTCCATAATATTTGATACTAGATTCTATGGAAGCAAGAGCAACAAACCTATCACTGATGTAGTAGTAGTGCCAGGGCAACCACCGGTTGATAGAGCTGGACCCCAGTTTCCTGCTGATGAAAAAAACAACACCCCATGTCGATGTACTAGTCTGTTTACAGCTTCAATAATTCGCCTATGATACAAATAAATGATCATTTGAAAACAACCAGCACTGACCAAATTTTATAGCATCAAAAGACAGAAAAATTACCCAGAATCACAAAAGCTGGTTGCTTCACCATACGAGTAATTGATGAGATGCACACCCAAATCAGCGCAGCGACTTAGCTGAAAAATACAAAAACTATGAGAAGAACACACTTTCTTTCTAAATTCGTACCAAACTATCAGACTTCACACAATGATGAAAATTTTCTCACTTATGCTTTGTTTGCATCTAATTTTTACTCTCCTTATTTCGCTTATACTTAAGATTTCATGTGATCTGTAAAAACCAACAGCTCTTGTTAGCGCAGTTCCCGTCTCCATTGATCTAAGTCGATGATCACCAATGCATAATGAAACTATTTGAGCTCCAGGAGCTAATCCAGATTTCTCCTTTTCCTGTAAACCAAATATGCACTTTTTTCAGTATTACTTCAGAGAATCTAGAACGCAAGGCTTTACTTGAACAGGAAAAACTGTTTTATTAAATGGTTTAGACCAAACGTTAGGAAAGTAAGCAGCGGCAATGTTTGCGACATGAGATCCATGAGTTCCTGATGGAACACATATTTCCAACAAATTACCATTATCATGTATAGAAACACAGAATGTCAGCATATCTAAAAAATAAATGAATGACCATGAATGTATAACAGTTAATTTTTCTACGTAATTTGGGTGAATTTACAAATAATACAAAGCTGCCTTTTGCCTTTGCTGCTTTTGTTCATTATATAAGAGAAAGTGATATTCAGAACAGACTAAATACTGTTATAAATGTAACCGGAAATGGCTTAACAGCAACAGTTACTTATCATCGAGTCTATAGTAACCACAAATGGATTTGACCTGATTACTATGCTAGTTGCATTTTTAAAGAATTTCAATATTTACTACCACCAGTAAGCATTCTAATACACGACTACAATTAACTTTGTTCTTTTTCTAGAAAATTAATGGTTTTATCACATCATGAAAGATTTTATACCGTGATCAGAGAGTTTGTAATACTTGCCACTATCACGGTAGCTGCTAAGCAAAGGAGCTAGATTCAAACGTCCACGATACGAAACATCTATACAAGCTCTAAAAGCAGACTATGATAAAGTTCATCAATAAGATTCAAGGATCAGCACTTCATATACTAATGACTTTTTTTTTTTGAAATCTCAATCCTAAGAACAAATAACCTGAATTGTTTGCCATCATGAAAGACAACACAATCCGCTACTGGCCCTGGGTCTTCCATTTTCTCCATATTTTTAAGTATTTCGACCTGACTGCACAGTTCATCTCTGTCTTCTTTATCCGCCTGAGTTAAATTCGATTTTTTAAAAACTGATAAAACTCTCAATACTATCGCATTCAATATTTTTCACCCCACATTTTATGAGTTTTTCCTTTTACTTACCTAATAAGTTAAATTAACAACTATGCCACCATTATGCCGTGTATTTGATCAAAAACATGAATCTGGTCCCCAGGAGATTTTCAAACATCTTTGTTATCTCTTTGGAGAAAATAAAATCCGCTTTTTGCAAAATTTGGTAGGAAACTTCAAGATAGATTTTTTTAATGGAAAAACCTACAGGTTTAAAATTTTTATGATTTTATATTGAACTTACTATTTTGTCAGATGTTCCACCAACTGCTTCTTCATGAGCAACCAATTGACGCATAGCATCGGCCATTGCCAACTTTTGTCCGCTATCAAAAAACCTTTCCTTTCTTTCTTTCTAAAAATAAGCATGCATTTACCAATATCATTAAGAAAAAATTCTTCATAATTAAAGTCAATCATCCAGTAAAGTAACGAAAGTTTTCGCGGTGAATTTGAATAATGTGTAAGGCTCTTTGCAATTCAATACCTATCAAAAAATACTGTTTATTCACCACAATCAAACAAAATAAAAAGCATTGAATGTACCATGAAAAAAATATTGAATTATTCATCATTTTTTAAGGCATCAGAAAGAAAATGTTTCTACACTGGTTAAAAAAGTAACTCATACCTTTATTCTTTCCAGCAAAGTCCTGTTATACAGTTCATATATCGGTTTTATTCCTAAATGATACTTACCACTTGGATTAACCCAAGTTTCTGGAATCTGAAACTGTGATGATCAGCTAAAAACCACTTATTTTTACACACCAGTTCATTCGGTTGCATTTTTAATTACTGCTTCTGTTCTTAACCGAAATCAGAAATAACAACCTTCAGTTTTCTCCCAGTAAGTCCAACAACATATCCATCGACAGCGGTCCGCACCGTTGAAGTGTCAACATCCCCAGCTCCTGTACAATCCACTGCATCAATAACTTTTCGAAGACCATGGCTCGTTACCTAATTATTATTATTTATTTCCCCATGACAATTAATCTCATTTTGCATCCTAAAACTTTAGAATATTTCTAAACGCACAGATTTCGTGAGACAGATATTATATTAAACCACTACAGATTATAGAAAGTGATAAAATTACATGAGGTGAAAAATAAGAATAAAACTTGAAGGATCACACGAGATAGTTCCAATAATATCTGTGTAGAAAATCAAAAGTTTAGGAACTAGATGAACCTGCAATCCGGGAAGTGAGAGATCAATACCCGTATCTAGTATACCGATGATAATGCCTCTACCATCGTATTCTGGATACTTTGTCAAGAATTGTTCCTGAAACTTCGTACCTTCCAGACAAGTCAGTTTTAACTTGAACGGTAAGTAAAATAATACTACAATAGTTGAGGAACGTAAAAAGAGTGTAATGTACTTTTGGTAAGTTGTTATGTTCTCAATAATTTTCTTTTATTTTTAGCAGAGTAAAGTAAAATGGATCAAGTATGCAAGAATCAATCGCATATAATATTACTAAATTTGTACTTTTTTTAATAATTTTGTTTTCATTTCTCTTCCATAAAAATTACTTCGTAATTGTCAATAAAAAGTGAGTAATGATAAATTCTAGAGCAATTTCATCAAATTTAAAGAAAAGAAATTGCAGAATTAGATGAAATTTGAAAGTTAATCAATGTGATAACAAATAATTACACCTAAATCATGATACAAAACTACAAGTTTCAAAAAAACAAAACCTGTTGTGTTTCAACTTTTGGCATAAGATGCGCCAAATTAAATTCGTTTCCATCGATAGAACTGGCACTCATTGTATATAATCGTAAATATATTAAAACACTTGCAAATATCCGCTGAACGAATCAAACGACAAGTTGATTATGATTATGATTATTATTATTATTATTATCGAAATACTGTTCACTGAAAAATCAATCAGTACTAAATGTAGAATATAAATCTTTTAGAAAACACTTGCTAAACTGTATTGATAAAAAAGCTGAGCAGCATTTACATAAACTTCTCATTATATATTCATTATATAGATAATATATACTACATTAAATGAAAACCTAGACTTAACACACAAGTACAACTCGGAACAACTCTTGAATCAATCTAATTTACGTCTGAATTATTCCTAATCTATATTATTTGTTGGCTGGCAATGAAATAGGCTTAAGTAAATAATGGTACTTGCATGCATATTCATAACACATTTAATAAAAACTTTGCTCGAGTGCAACTATGACGAGAAATTAAGAAACGAGAAATGAGCTAAGACGAATACTTGAGAGAAGAGAGCAAGGAGTGAGAAGAGGGTGCAGACGGGTAGGTAATGAATTTGGAGAATATTTGGCACTCTAAAGGAACCAGTTAGAGCGTGTTAATGGATGAGTTCAGTAATAGTAGTAATTGTTGAGATGAATGTGAATGTGCCTTTTGAGATTCAGATTTATTAATTATTTAAGGATTGAAGGCTTAGTATGATATCTTGTAAATAATCATAGACTCTATTACTTAGTTAAAGCTACAGTCTATTTCGTTTAGTAAAAGTCGCACATAAGAAACTTTGAAATATTTATGCGAAATACAACAAAGTATTCAAACGTTGTTTACGTGCGCGCTCATTTATTGTTTCTTGATCGTTGCGCACATTCAAATGCACAGGTCTCAATTTTTACTATCACAATACTATGGCTTTTTAGCTAATTTTTAACGAATGAAACGACTAACTTGTCAAATTAATTACTTATGCAAAAATATACCATGAAGATAAATAAGACTTTCCAAGTATTTTATGTTGCTTTCTTATCTAATCCAATTTTTGTTTTATTCCAAATTTTAAAAAAGTTCATTGCTTAGAAATGTTACCTGATTACTCAATACTTATATTCACACT